CAGGTTGATACCTCTTTTTCAGGTATGCCTGGTGCTGCTCCTGGCATGCCCTCCTGCACTCTTCATTGAACCAGGGTTGATCCCCTGGCTTGATGGTAATGGTTGAGTGGGGGATATGCTGGGCCATGAGGTTACAGATTGTGAAGAACAGTTCTGCTGCTGTTGATGGTCCACAGCACCCCGTGGATGCCCAGTGTTGAGTTGCTAGATCTGTGCAATGTCTGTCCCATTTAGCACGGTGATAGTGCCACACAACACAACGGAAAAGAACGGTCTAGGCCCGAAACATCAGCTTTCCTGCTCCTCTGATGCTGCTTGGCCTGCTGTGTTCATCCAGCTCTACACCTTGTTATCTCGGATTCTCCAGCATCTGCAGTTCCTACTATCTCAGAAGTTACTCTCAACATGAAGGCAGGACTTCGTCTCCACAAGGTCTGTACAATGGTCACTCTTACCGATACTGTCGCTGGCAGATTAGTAAGGATGAGGTCAGGTATGTTTTTCCCTCTTGTTGGTTCCCTCAACACCTGCCACAGACCCAGTCTAGCGGCAATGTTTTTTTAGGACCCGACCAGATCAATCAGTAGTAATGCTGCCGAGCCACTCTTGGTGGTGGACATTGAAATCCCCCACCCAAGAGTACATTTTGTGCCCTTGCCATCCTCAGCGCTTCCTCTAAGTGTTGTCCAACATCAAGGAGTACTGATTCATCAGCTGAGGGAGGACGGTCTGTGGTAATCAACATGTGGTTTCCTTGCCCGTGTATAACCTGAAGCCATGAGACTTCATGGGGTCCGGAGTCAATGTGGAGGACTCCTAGAACAACACCCTCCCGACTGTATACCACTGTGCCGCCACCTCTGCTGGATCTGTCCTGCCAGTGGTGTCCAGGACATTGTATGATTCTGCGAGTGTGACTATGTCAGGCTGTTGCTTAAGTGGTCTGTGAGACAGCTCTCTCAATTTTGGCAGTAACCCCCAGATGTTAGTGAGGAGGACTTTGCAGGGTCAACAGGGCTGTTTCTGCCATTGTCTTTTCCGGTGCCTAGGTCGATGCCGGATGATCCGTCCAGTTTCATTTCTTTGAGACTTTATAGCAATTGGTACAACGGAGTAACTTGCTAGGCCATTTCACAGGGCAGTTGAGAGTCAACCACATTGCTGTGGGTTGGAGTCACATGTAAGCCAGCCCAGGTGAGGGTGGCAGATTTCCTTCCCTGACGGACATTAGTAAACCAAATGGGTTTTTCCGACAATCGGCAATGATTTCATGGTGATCAATAGATTCCTAATTTAAAAAATTATTGAATTCAAATTCCACCATCTGCCATGGTCTAGCAATAATACCACTAGGTTACCCCATAACTATTACAGGTTCCATAAATAAAAAGGATCAAGTTGAATATCTCTTTCAGAGAACTAGCACAATAGGTTGAAATGTTCATTTTTTTGTGCTGCAAGATTCTGTTTACTTAACTGCAATTTTGTTACAATGACATTTTCACTGAAGCTAAATTTAAGTTTTCCGTTGATACCCTCAAAATATAATGAATATTGTCAATAGCAATGAAGAAAAATAACTTGCACTCGTATAGCATGTCACAGCCTATGGATCTCCCAGCTAATGAAGTACTTTTAAAACATAATGAATATTGTAATGTAGTGAGTGCAGTGGTTTTGCAGAGTCACTAACACTAAAATGACAATTGCCAGATGATCTGTTCTACCGGATTTAGCTAAAGAATAAACACACAAAGGTAGAACTCCCTTGTGATTCTTCAAAGCAATATCTTGGGATCTTTTATATCCACCTTAGAAGATGGATAGGGCATGAGTTTAATATCTTCTCCAAAGAACTGAACAAAAGCTGGTGTAGCACACCCTTAATACTAGACATACTATTTCAACCTGAACCCACAACTGCCTTACTTGAAGATAAACGAGAGCTATGGATGCCACTTACAAAGCAAATGCAGCAATCTATTCCAATGGTTATAATAAAAAATAACTATCACAGCTCCCATATGCAATCATGTAATGAATATAATTCAGTTTTTACAACCTGTTCTGTTGAAGAGTTACTGGACTCGAAATGTTAACTGTTTTCTTTCCACAGATGCTGCCACATTTGCTGAGCTTCTCCAGCAATTTCTGTGTTTGTTTCAGATCTCCAGCATTCATAGCTCTTTGTTTTATTTTAGATTTTCACAAAAGGTTTATAAGGTTGTTGCAAGACTAGAAGATTTGAGTTATAAGGAGAGGCTGAATATTGTAATTGTACCAGCCTCCAGCACTTGCTCTGGCATACACACACCACCCTCGGTGTTAAAAAGGTGCCCCTTAGGTCTCTTTTTAAATCTTTCCCCTCTCACCTTAAATCTTTTGGACTCCCCTACCCTGGGAAAAGACCTTGGCTATTCACCCTATCCATATCCTTCATGATTCTCAAAGTAATTTTTAACAACAATGCTGTCAAAGCAGCCTTTTCCAGAAGGCATGTGACTGAATAGACTAGGGCTTTTATCCCTGGAGTGTTGAAGGCTGAAGGGTGACCTTTCAGAGGTTTATAAAATCATGAGGGGCATAAATAAAGTGAATATCCAACATCTTTTCCATAACATAGGAGAGTCCAAAACTAGACAGCATGGGTTTAAGTTGAGATCGGAAAGATTTAAAAGGGACTTGAGGGGCAATTTTTTTCACACAGGCACATATGGAACAAGTGGTAGAGGTGGGTACAATTAAATTTAAAAGACATTTGGACAATACATGACTAGGATGTTTTAGAGGCTTTGGACCAAATGCAGGCAAATGGGACTAGTTCAGTTTAGGAAACCTGGTCAGCATTGATGAGTTTGGCAGATGGACCTGTTTTCAGGCTGTATGACTCTAGCCGTAGTTCCAGTCCTCCAGTACTTTATTTATGTTGCCCAGTTGGAAATTTAATGCCCATGTTTAAGAGAAAACACTGGGCTAGAATTAAAATTTAAATATTTGAAAGTTCATCAGAAAGTCTAACCCTGTTTTGCCAGAGTCTGGTTGGGTCCTGATTTGAATTTACATCTCGCTTTTAACATTGTTATGGACCCAACTGATAGTAATATTAGACAAGTCAGATCCCAGTGAGAAACCTGGCTTGATAAATCGAATTTTATTTTTGCAATTTAGTTACCACAATGACTAGTCACTGAGGATAGTCAAAGAGTGCCAACGTATTTTCTACAAAAGAACACAAGTTTATTACTCAAAAAAAAAACAACTATATAATGACAATAAAAAAAGTATAGACAGCAAAAGAAAGATTTAACCTGTTCCTCAGCAAAATCCTTCATAGACACTTGATCAATAAAGTATCACTCCTATCTGCAGTCTTCAATTTCTTACTTAACTGTCTCTTTGAAGCCCTTCTCCTTTGGCTGCTGAAACAGCTTAAGCCTTCTTTCCAATCTGATGGCCTGGAGATTTCAAACAACTCTCAGGAACCTAGAGACCTCTACAAAACTAAAAACTGCCCTTCCCCTGGTATAACTTTACCCCTTCTGAACTCAACATGCTCCTACCATCTGTTTCTGTAGTCATAAAACTGAACTTAGTAAACATTCAGCACGTAATTCCCCAGGTAACTGATCAGAGTCATTGGGCTTAAGTCATATGCCTTCTGGAAAAGGCTGCTTTGACAGCATTGTTGTTAAAAATTACTTTCAGAATCATGATTGATATGAATAGGGTGAACAGCCAAGGTTTTTTCCCAGGGTAGGGGAGTCCAAAAGATTTAAGGTGAGAGGGGAAAGATTTAAAAAGAGACCTAAGGGGCACCTTTTTAACGCAGAGGATGGTGTGTGTATGGAATGAACTGCATTGAATGGGTATATGAATAGGAAGGATTTAGACGGATATGGGCCAAATATGACTAGATTAATTTACGATATCCGATCGGCATGGGCAAGTTGGACCGAAGGGCCCGTTTCCATGCTGCGCATCTTTATGACTCTAACTGTCTGCTTGTTCATCATGTCTGTGTGGGTTTCCGCCAGATGCTCTGATTTCCTTCCATAGTCCAAAGATGCGTTAGATGGATTGGCCATGCTAAATTTCCCCACAGTGTCCAGGAATCTGTAGGCTGGTGGGTGTTGGGTGTTGGGTGAGGTGGGATGCTCTTTGGAGGGTCCGTGCAGTTTCAGTGGGCTAAATGGCCTTTTTCTGCACTGTAGGGACTCTGAACCAATCATGAGCATACTGCTTTTCCACGCCATGTATTTTCAGTTACTAAATTTTTAGAAGTTACAGTTCAATTTTGTGAACATATTATTTAATATATTCATCTATTTTGAAATCAAAATACAACAGTTTAACAGAACATAAAATAAAAATAATAAGCACTTGGAAACAAATATCTATGATGAGCGGGGCGGGGAGATTTCCGTTACATTTTCCGGGCTAAGCCTTTAACTTTGCATACAGAAAACCACCCGAATCTTAGACAGTGTTTGAAGATAGACGAGCCCAATTGTTTCCTGTTCAGGAGTTAATAATCCGTTTTGCGAGCAACAATTTAATTTCAATAATGGAGCAGGGCGTATTTATTTCCAGATGCCTATGAAATACAATAGGACATTTATACGATTGACATAGTTGCCTGGGCACAATAACCCAAATCAAACTCTACAACGACAAACGCACTACCCCTCGACACACTGTCAAAAAGAAGAAAAAAAACAATTTCTCTGGCAGGGAGATGTAAAAATCAATAGCTATCAAAAAGAAAGAAAACTTGGTTCAGCCGAAGAAAACACTTGAGATGTGTCTGCAATTCACATAACCGCATACCAGCCAGAGCAATTCAGACAATTTTGACCCTTTCTACTTAGAAACAGACTTAACAACAATCAGTAAACAAAAACTAGATTAACCCCTATACAAGTGTACGCTGCCAATGCTTCGCCTGCTGCCGATAGGGTGACTAGAAATTGTCTCTAGAGTTGCTGCAGCGTGATACTGACCTATGACAACCCTCAGATGCTTCAATCTGGTCAGAACATCCTTCTTCGGATCCAGGACTTTCTGTGTGGATTTTCTCACATCTCCGTGAGGTTTTTTAGAAAACATTCCGCTCCTTGGATTAAGCAGCAGACACCCCTCCCTCCCGCCTTCCCAACGCTTATTTTTTTAAAATGTTGAGAAATAAATAAAAAGGTCGCGGCCTAATAACAATCAAACTTGTCCAAGATGCCGACCCCATGAACGCAGCAGCTGGGTGAACACAGCCCAGTGATCAACCGTCAGTCGAAAACATGGCGGCTCTCAGCAGGACAAACAATCGGCACGCTCAATCAAAACCAGAGTACTTCCAAAACACTGAAATGACAAATGATTCACGTCAGGTCTCACGCTGCCGCCTTGCAATCGAAGTGAATTTCATGTCAAACCGCTACCGCCCAAGCACGAACTATTTGTTCTGAAAACGTTCCGTCGTCCAAACACTTCTCTCTTGACTGCTCCGATGATGTTTAGTCATGTCTGTTTTCCCGCTGCCACCATAGGAATGTTAGCTGCAGAGGCTGCCGGGAATTGTAGTTTTACTTGTTGAATAGTACGCGACCCATTAGGAGTTCTTGTACTACAACTCCCAGGGTACACGGAAACACCCAGCTACCGGCCGGGGTAGTTTTGCGCGCTTCCATTCGATCCCCCTTAGGCCCAGCCCTCTGCCTCGCTGATTGGTGGCACTGCTGGTTACGACACAAGCATTTCCACTCCAGTCTTGCGAATGGCCAATGAAGCTGTCAGTTAGCTCAGGCAACTGCTCGTCTCCTTCCCGTACTCCCCACCTGGGATGAAATGTGATGTTGGGGTGAATTAAACATTCGGTGTAATTAATGTAAACGTGGTGTTTGAGATTTGAACTTTTTGAAAAAAAACGGTCAATATGCCGGTCCATTCTAGGGATAAGAAAGAGAACAGTCACGAAGACATGGATGTTGACTTCCCAGAGAATGAGGGCAGCAGCTCAGATGATGAGGACACAGAGAGTTCCTCGGTCTCGGAAGATGGGGACAGCTCAGGTGGGTAAAGGCCGGAATCCCTCGTCATTTCGAGCTGGCAGGCCTCAAGCAACCTGCTCATACGCATTGCAGCCCATTGGTTGTGGTTGGCCGATTTCAGGTTAATGCTTAAATATTGAGTCACATTTATTTGGAAAACACAAATAATTTACCCTCACCCATGTTCCCCTTTCATAACTTCCTCGCCCCCTTTGTGTCTCTTCCTTTACCTGAGCGACCCACCCCCCAGCCTGGACGACACTCCGCTCCTGTCATCCTAAGTCCC